TATGTGAGACAGACAGAGAGACTATGGGCATATTTTATAGTGTAGTGATTCAAAAACCCTGCTATAAAGGTGTTCAGAATGTGGTCAGGATTGTGGGTTCAAGCGGTGAACTAGGTGTAAAACAAGAACAAAAAGCTCTCCAGCACTCTCCAGTCTAGTGACTACTGTGGAAATTATTTAAACAGCTGACCTTACAAGTGTCCGGTGGGAAATCATTTCAACCCTGGATGACTCTTAGTGTCCATTTCAGTTCCAATTTTAATCACGGTCCACATTGAACTGGCCTGAGCAAATACATCAGATTCTTGATACATTACAGAGGGTTTTCATCCAAATGTAAATTTCAAGAACGGAACAGGAAATGAAAGCTGGAGAGCCAAAGGCGGGCGAGATGAGAGAAAAGCAGACACAGAGAGAGCGCTGAATGGAGTGAAACGAGAGCAGGGGGTGAAAGAGAAATGGACTGATTGACGGATAAGATGGAAGGTGTAGTAGATGAAAAGAGGGAGGTATGGACAACAAGAGAGAGAGAGACCAAATCCTTATTTTTAGATTTCTCCCAGTTCCTCCAAAACCTGTATTATGACTCTCCTATTGCACCTACCAGTGCAATCGCCCACCCATCATCTCTCCTACTCTTCCTCCTCCTCTCTCAAACACTCTTATAATCTACCTTTTCATCTTTTGCTCCTTTGGACCTCTCCCTTCTTCCCGTTGTGCCGCTGGCTCTCCTCCTCCCTCCATCAATCTCCTTTTCTCTCCATCTCTCTCAAGCCTCCTCCTCTTTCTTCTCAAAATGTAGCTCTCCAGTGGCACAAACACATTTTAGATGTACCTCCCCACACACACACACACACACACACACACACACATTACTTGCTGCAGTCTGCCATTCCCACTGCTTATCTAATACGTTTTCATTTTATCCTCCACTTGCGTCTCTCCTTTACCTTGCTTGTGTCTATCTTTCTCCCCGTGAGCTCGCTCTCTCTCTCGCGCTCTCTCTCTCTCCGCTCTTGTCTCTCTTGTGATGTAGCTTTGATCCTCGCCTCATTCCCCAGATACAAACACAGCGCACACTCCACCTGTGCACACGTACACACACGTTTTGACAGATGTATAGATGTTGTTTAATAGAAAGCGGTAATCAACACCCCTTCCCCCTAAGCATCCCCAACTCTAAATGGTAGAAAGATAGATAGAGACAGAGGAAGAGAGAGGCCTAAAATTGACGGCAGTGCATCGACCCTGCTGTAAAACCTAGTTAACGCCTCCCCAGCCTGTGAAACCTGATTAGTTGAGTGTTAGTGTGTTTTGTGTCATCATGTGTGTTCATAGCGCACTGTGTTTAACAGGTTGTTTTGCTTCTTACAGATACAACCTCATAATTCCCCTCTGATTAAAAAAAATGTTGATGTGTTCCCATTCACATGCCTTGTGTGTGTGTGTGTGTGTGTGTGTGTGTGTGTGTGTGTGTGTGTGTGTGGGCGCCACACAGGACAGTCTCCACTGATTACATCCCCCCTACTCCTAGTCAATAGTGAATAGAGCACTCAGCCTGATAAGCAATCACCTGAATCAATACTAATGTTTTTAGCTTGTGTACATTAGTGTGTGCATGTTTGCGTGTGTGTGTGTGTGTGTGTAGTTCTTAACATGTGGCTAATCTAGTCCGAGCTCATGGAGGATAAACATTCAGTTACAGGCACGGTAAATCACAGATGCCTGTCATCCCTTTTTCTCCTCTCCTCTTCTCTCCTGATGTTGTCCCTTTCGTCTTTGTCCAAAGAGCCTTCTCCTAACTCCAATCCTTTCATCTTCTCGCCTCTCACCAATCTGCATTCTTTTATTTTCCCTTCTCCCTCTCATCTCCTTCTCCTCTTTGGCCTTCTTTGAGCATTAACGGCAGCCTAACCTTCAAAGAGAGTGATCATAGGGAGTCCACGCTGTCCACATACAGAATAACACAGCCTTTAGTTAGGCTTTGGCAGCAGTTTAAATGTCAAAGTTGGAGGCCCTGCTTTGCCACACCCACATGTAATCCCTGAGAGAGAGGCAGAGCGATATGAAGTGACACCAAGTGGAAGATTTGGTGCTGTAGTGAGTATTTATGGTGGCAGGACAGAGTGAATGAGACCTTCTCAATTTACTGTAGCAGCCATGTGCATTGTAACAAGATAATATGTCAGCCAGCATGTGGCTCTTTTGCATTTTTGGTCAACAATGGAAGTCTATCCCTCTCTTCTCTCTCCACTGTTCTCCTGATCTGGAATATCATGGAAATCATTTACTGTAAACTGTTTTACTCTCCCCGTGAGTTTGCTTCATTCACTCTGGTCTGTGTTTACATTCTGCTGCAGGCTAACATGCACGACGCACAGCGCATGCTGGCTGACCGGATACTGTGTGTGGAGCATACAAACCCGGACTCCCTTGTTATTGTTCTTGGTGACTTTAACAAAGGAAACCTTAGCTAAGCACTCCCCAAACACAGACAGTTTTGTCCAAGCAGACAGGGTGGACGGGTCGACACTTTAGATCACTGCTACACCACAGTTAGAAGTGCCTATCAGGTGAACCACGACATGGTTCTGATTCCTGCATAGAGGCAGAAACTAAAGCTATGTAAAGCTGTGGTGAGGACCTCCAGGTGTGTTTGGAGTGCACTGACTGGGATTTTTTCAGGACTACTACCAACAATCTGGATGAGTTTACTGATGCTGTGACGTCCTACATCAGCTTCTGTGAGGACAGCTGTATACCAACACGCACCGGGGCAAGTTATAACAATGACATACCCTGGTTTACAGCCAAACTCAGACAGCTATGGTTGGGAAAGAAGGACGCATATAGGAGTGGGACAGGGCCGGGCCAGGCTAGCTCCACCCCCTCCCCTACTCTCTCAATCTCAGAGAGGGAAGTCAACAGACTATTCAGGAGGCAGAAACGCTGCAAAGCAGCCGGGCCAGACTGTGTCTCCCCATCCACCCTGAAGCACTGTGCTGATCAGCTGTGTTCACAGACATTTTTAACACCTCACTGGAGACATGCCATGTGCCAGTTTGCTTCAAGCCTCCACCATCATCCCTGTCCCCAAAAAAACCAAGGACCACAGGACTAAACAACCAGACCCATCGCCCTGACCTCTGTGGTAATGTCCTTTGAATGCCTTGTGTTGTCCCACCTTAAATCCATCACTGATCCACTCCCGGACCCCCTGCAGTTTGCCTACAGAGCCACCAGGTCTGTAGATGATGCAGTAAAAATGGCCCTTCACTACATCCTTCAGCACCTAGACTCCCCAGGAACCTACGCCAGGATCCTAATTATGGATTTCAGCTCTGATTCAACACCATCATCCCGGCCCTGCTGCAGGACAAGCTCTCTCAGCTGAACGTACCTGACTCCACCTGTAGGTGGATCAATGACTTCCTGACAGACAGGAAGCAGCCCGTGAAGCTGGGAAAACATGTCTCTGATTCCAGGACCATCAGCACTGGTTCCCCTCAAGGCTGCGTTCTTTCCCCTCTTCTCTTCTCCCTGTACACCAACAGCTGCACCTCCAGTCACCAGACCATGAAGCTCCTGAAGTTTGCGGATGGCACCACCCTCATTGGGCTCATCTCAGGTGGGAACGAGTCCGCCTACAGGTGGGAGATCGACCATCTGGTGACCTGGTGCAGCCAGAACAGTCTGGAGCTCAGCGTCAGACAGTGGAGATGGTTGTGCATTTTAGAAAGAGCCCAGCCCCCCCTCCCCCATCATCCTGTGTGACTCCCCAGTCACTGTGGACTCCTTCCGCTTCCTGGGCACCATCATCTCCCAGGACCTCAAGTGGGAGCTGAAAATCACCTCCCTCACCAAAAGGCCCAGCAGAGGATGTACTTCCTGTGGCAGCTGAAGAAGTTCAGCCTGCCAAAGACAATGATGGTGCACTTCTACACCTCCATCATTGAGTCCATCCTCACCTCCTCCATCACCATCTGGTACACTGCTGCCACTGACATGGACAAAGGCAGGCTGCAGTGTATCGTTCGCTCTGCAGAGAAGGTGATTGGCTGCAATGTTCCATCACTTCAGGACATGTACGCCTCCAGGACTCTGAAGCGAGCAGGAAAGAATACAGCTGACCCCTCCCACCCTGGACCCTACGGTCCATCAGGACCAAAACCTCTCGCCACAAAAACAGCTTCTTCCCATCTGCAGCTAGTCTGGGTCCCCCACTGACACTATCCCCTTGCAAATAATACAAATATCTCTGCACATGTAAATACTATTTCATTTCATTTCTTATCATACACAAACCTGGCACATTACACATATTTGTTGTTAATTGTTAATCGTTGTTATATTGTCAGTTTATGTATTAATACACAATATTCTCTTCCGTTTCAATATATCTTGCGTAACACATCCTGGAATATTGCACTTGTAAATATCTGCGACATTGTTCTTTCTCTGCAAATAGTTGTATTATTTTTCTCGATTCTTTTTATTATTCTTATATAACTTACATTGTATATAAATATTCCATATTTATATGTTTCTAGATTTATTTATGTCAGCTGCATGTTTGTCTAAGCACCTCATCACCAAAGCAAATTCCTCGTATGTGAAAAACACTACTTGGCAATAAAGCTCCTTCTGATTCTGATTCTATGGAATAGAGGAAAGAGATCAGGCTTTGGATACACAGCCTATACTTGCTGACACATTTGTAGTTTTTGGTCTTTTCATGGGATTTGTTCATAATAACACAAATTAAAAAGATAATACCAGACATGTGTTAAAATACATGATTTACAAACACACTTGTTTAGGGTAGTCATTTGGTTTTTGAAATTTCCTGGCGCCTTTCCGGGCTGCCTGCCACATGTTAGTACCAACACTACACTTTACCTCTGCCCTGTGCTCTTCGCCCCATCTTGTGGTGCTTATAGCTCATACTGATCATGTCTAGAGGACCTTTGTGTCTCTTTTTTTTTTTTTTTTTACCCTACCTTCCGCTGACAACGAAGCAAGTCACCAGGAAGATGAGCAGAACGATTCCCCCAGCGATGGACACAGCCAGAATGGTGGACTGGTTAGGGTCCCCGATAGCAAAAACATCTATTAAGGAGACAAAGGGAACACAGTGGATTAATAAACAAAGCATAAAGAAGGATGGAAAGAAGCTGAGGTTGTTTTCGGCGGGAGGAAAGTGAGAGGAGAAAAGACGAAGAGAGTCTGGGAGTAAAACAGACAGGAAAGTGAGTGTGGTGGAGGAAAGAGGGAGAGAGAATGAAATATGAGAGCAATAGAAAAGAAGATAAAAGAGGTTGAAGAAGAGGGAAAAAGAGAGAGCAGCAAACGAGTAAAAGAGAGGATAAAGAGAGGATAAAAGAGAGGAGCGACGTGGTGGGTGGAATAGTAAGTAAGGTCCTTGATGAAAAGCGCTCTCCCTCTCTGCATCGCCTGTGAGGGTATGAGAGTGGACGTGAAAGCCATTCCCATTCGGCCGCGCTGTCCAAATGGATATGTTAACATTGCACATAACAAGGCTACCGCCAAGAACTTTCTGCAAAGATGCATTGATTTTTACGCCACCCCAAACGAGCCATTACTCAAAACAAATACCTCATTTATCTGGCTTAGCTAAGCATGAGCAGGCACGTGTGTCTGTATGTGTATGAATATATGAGTGTGTGCGTGTGTGTGTGTTGAAGAGGCAAATTAGAGCCCCTAGGCAAGGCACAGGTAAGCATTGATCTCCTATTACATTTACTGCCGCACACATGCACAGCCTTCTTTAACAATCAATGGAATTGATCTGATTAGATAACCTTGAAATGTTTGCTGCGTGGTCAGCTGAATCTTGTATTTTAGAGCACTGAACTCGGATATGAATCTGCTGTATGAAGGTTCAGTAACAGCACTAGACACCAGTGACACGCAACCTGGGTTCTGTCTTTTACTGTCATCTTCCAGATATTTGTTGCAGAACAGGAATAGAAACCCTACTTTGAATTACTTTTACTGATTATTGAATGATTAGTAGGCTAATGTGTGCCTGTTGTATGCTACGTTGACAATCTACAGCGCAGTGCCATACATTACCTGATTTATCCCCTCTGCCTGCCTGTCTGGGAATCAATGTTCACTTTGAAGAGCACATTATGGGGCTTCTAAAGCAGAAAATCCTAGAGCACATAATGAAGCGATAATGAAAGTGGATGACAGCAAACAAATGAGAAAAGGAGTGACAGAGAGGCTAAAACATTAGGAGAGAGCTGCAGCATAGAATGCCCATAGCTGTGAGGCCTGGCCCCACTGGCCTGGATCGACCCTGGCATAGATTTCTCTTTTTTTGACTCCAAACCATAAGTCCAGAATACATTTCTAAATGCAAGTGGTCAGTCTCCTTTACTCAGAAGAAGGAAAAAAACCCGCTCTATACAGAGCACTGCCGTTGCAGTATAGTTGCAGGTGGGGAAAATTAAACATCATCTAGGTAGTAAGATGTCCAGTCAAGTTTAAATTTATTCACCCGATGGCTACATAACATCTGAGGATGTTTGGTGTTTTCATTTTCTGTCTTTTCAATTCATGGTTTTCATTGTGGGTGCAAACTTCTTCTACTCGTAAGATTTTGCTCCTGTCGTTGGTGTGAATCAAAATCTCACAATCCAGTAAAGCATGTTTGCTTTGATTCATTGTGTAATTGGGTTGTCTCCTTTTTACCTGATACTTTTTATTATTAGGATACCTTTAAGCCACTGGTTCAGATATGTAGATGACACAGCCTGTGAGGCTGCTGAGGTTTTTCTGTCTGACAACAGAACTGAAGAAGCCATTCGGGTGAAAAGTGAGCTATTTCATGACCATCTGGCAGATTGATTTAAACTGCAGGGGGGATGAATCAGGGTCTTACTACACTGTGATATAATATGCCATACTCTTTGCTCTGCAGTCAATCTTTGTGATTCTTGACTCAGGTATAAATCATGTCCACAGACGAGGTAATGTATTGAAGTTGAATTCATGTTATATTTAGTCTTGTTTGCCAAATTCCTTCCTCACACATAATCCGATGTTCCCCATAAGTTACACTATAGCACTTAGAGGGGTTAAAGTGGATATGATGCCAGCAGCAGGCGAGTAAATGAAACGCACAATTACCTTGAATGAAATTGTTGTAAGTACACAATTCAACAAAATATTTAACATAGGTCTAGTGTTTTTTTGATAATTTAATGTGGAAATGCATATTATACATTTAAATAATTGGCATGTAGCTATTTTCAGTGTAGCAACTGACTGCTATTCCAATTTTTATCGGAAAACCTCAGGGACATTTTGAAAACAGGAAGATTGATGAAAAAATTGCAATCCAATTACACAAGATGATGCGTAAAAAAAAAAAGGAAAAGTGAAATTGCTTATTCATTCTGAGTAAACAAATATTTATTATTCATCCCTTTACCTTCGTGGCTGGTTTCCAATTCAATCTCTCCACCGTAGCTCCCGTAGCCCACATTGGTTCGAGCCCTGACCCTGAACACATAGGTGGTCCCTGGCTTCAGCCCGTCCACTGTCATCATGTTGGAGCTAGTCCTCAAGACCGTGTAGTTCTGCTCCCGCTGATTCTGAAGTGGAAGAAAGAGCAGGAGGAGAGTTCAGTAGATACTATTAGGTGTCAGAGAAATAAAGTGATTGTGGGTAAAAAGGGGATGAAATTATATAAATACTCAAAAGTGTTATATAAAGAGCAATGGACTGTCTTATCGAGGGAGACAGAAAAAAAACTGGAAAGTCTGAAAATAATAGAAAGCTCAAATATTTTAATTTAAACGTCTCCATGGGGCCACATACACCTCACTTAGTTTTCATTTGTTCATCACTGGACCATTTGGTCACATTTATACATGAGCATCTGTCAAGTCCCAAATCACACCCTCTTTACTCTTCATTCCCCCGACTACCTTGCAGGTGTGTGTGTGTGTGTGTGTGTGTGTGTGTGTGTGTGTGTGTGTGTGTGTGTGTGTGTGTGTGTTTGCGCACACACTTACAATATGTGTGTAGGTAGATGAATAAAGAATAAGTGTGCCTGTCAGTAAGCTGATTCCCTGCAGAGAGGCTGATACTCTACCTAATGGAAGACACTCTACAACACGGATTAACACTATTTTACTGCTAATGCCTGCTAACACACACACACACACACACACACACACACACACGCACAGGCTTAATTTCATCACCTTGGCCATGTTTTACAAGGTTTGTTCGACAGATGTGTTGTTAATTGGCTTGGTGTGAGGAATAGGGGAGAAGGGAGGTATATGGTGATGGAGATGGAGAGATAGAGAGATTGGAGAGAGAGATGTGTACGTAATGAGTAGTCATTACAGACATGCCTAAGGCAAAACTCAAGTCCTGTGAACCTAGACAACATGTAGATTAAAGAGAACAAAAGGAGTGGAAAGAAACATTTTGAGTTAAAACAAGAAAGAGTTGCTCCAGAGTTTAGCATTGCATTTAAAGAATTGTTTGTCAGTTTTGTAAATATGCTTATGTCCTTTCTTGGTGAGAGTAAGATGGAAGATGGAGATTGGGTATTATTGTCTTTACACTTGTTAAAGCATTTGTAACTTGTTTTTGAAAAGTGCTCTACAATAAAGATTATTATTATTATTATATTATTATTACTCTCGTGTCTGCATGCTAAATGAGGCTACAGGTAGCAGCTGGTTAGCTAATCTTAGCACACAAATTGGAAACAGCTAGCCTGGCTCTGTATAAAGGTAACAAAATCTGCCTACCAGCACCTTTAAAATTCACAAATTATCATATGTTACATATGTCTTTTGTTAATCCATACATAGAAACTGTGGTGCAAAAACAACAATCTGCTGTTTTATTTTGTGGCAAATAATTCCTCGTAAAGCAGCAAATTGTGTGGATTAAACAAACTACATGGAATGGGTAATTCTTGAGCTTGAAGGTGGATTTTTTTAACCTTTGGACACTAAGCTAGCTATTTTCCCCTTGATTCCAGAATTTGAGCTAAAATAAATCGACTGCAAGCAATAGCTTACTATTTTCCACACAGACATGGAAGTGGTATCGATCTTCTAATCTAACCCTCAGTAGAGAATACCAAATACCTCCCAACATGACTCCCAAATACCTCCAAAAAATGTCAAAGTATTTCTTCAAAGCTTATCCCCACTACCAGGTTGCAACACGGGTTTTCTGTTAAAAAAACAACTAATCTGATCATCATGTGTCAAACTGGTTGAGTGCCCCTTTAAAAATGTGTGTCTCTCTCTCACCTTCTCATAGTAGATGACCTCATACTCCACTATCACTTCATTGGGTCTCTCTGGACCCTGCCAGGCCAAAGTCACACTGTCCTTGCTCCGCCTCTCCTTCAACACAACGCTCACTGTAGGAAAACAAAGAACAAGTGAGGAAAAGCATGAGCACCAAAGAGAGAGTAAAGTTCAACGAGATGAGGGGGGAAAAGCATGTAAAGAGGCAGATTTAGATGGATTCCTACTGTGCTATAATGAGAAGACCCATATTTGAAGTGTGTGTCATGTAATTTTGCTAATGAGTGGGCTTACAAGGTGTTTCATACTTGTGTGATCACAGCATTCTACGGTGTGTGTATGGTCTGTGATCTGCTCGTATTATTAATGTGCAAACCCTGCGACTGATTCTCTGCCTTCCCACATAGGGGCACAGGCTTGTGTGGGTGGAAAGTGTATATTTGCTTGTGCTGGTGTGTGTGTGTGTGTGTGTGTGTGTGTGTGTGTGTGACATACTGTAGTCCAGAGTAGCACGTGTGACATGTGGGGATGTTAATGAGGTTAACAACCTCTTACACCCTTTCACCTTTCCCCCCTCCTGTTATTACACACACATCGTAGAACGAAGCCTATTAGTCATCGCCCATCCTGTCATACGCACTTCTCTTACATTTCCCACAGTACCACACTGTGAAAAACGTGTGATTATATATTGTATGAGCAGGCAGAGGTGTCATTTTGTGGTATCAGAGTGATGCAGGAAAGCAGTGCTTTTATAGTTAAAAGCCTCATACTATTTGTGAGCACACTGCAATCAGGAGACAATTTTGAAAAATGCTCAATTCACTATCCTTCCAATTCCTAGTTCGGGCTAATGAATATGTTCTATTTTCTTTTCTTATCAGCCTTTAAAAGTGGAATCCTGTATAATCCTTCTTGATGTCAAGTTTTAACTGCAGTTTAAATCTTAAAGCACCCTGCCACCTGTACAAATTACACTGTTTCAACAAAGCTGGTGTTGTGACATTCATAGTTAAATTTGGGGATTTAGATGTACTTTTAGGAGTGACATTACCCCCACTATGCATGTATGCTCTCACCTGTCTGTGATGTAGTGACATTGATGACTGCCGTTCCTCTGGGTGTGGGACTTAAATCTGACACTCCATTCTGGCTCTCAATAGTGAAGCTGTAGTTGGAGTCCGGTTGCAGTTCGGTGACCAGCACGGTGGCTGACGAGAGACCAAACTGCCTGGGAACAAAATGGACGCTGCTACCACATGGTGTGCACTTCTTGCCATCACCTGAGCACTTACTGCAGTGGAGGCTGTAGGTGATGTCTCCTCGGCCTCCTGTGTCCCTGGTGGTGACCACTCCAATGTGACACAGGTCTCATTCACTGTGGAGATGGGGTTCTCTGGAGCAGATGGAGGACCTGGGAAGATAGAGGCACACAGATTTATTTCTGTGACCTTGTTAAAAAACATTTTTGTCCAGAAAGTAGAATCTTTTTCAACTGACCCTGTGGAGTTTTTTGTAAACAAAATGTTTTGCTCTTTCTCACTAAGGCATTGTGTCTATCGTTGAGGCCTGTTTAAAGTGCGCTCCACAGATTTCGTATTGTGCTTCTCTAACATTGTCGGGCTCACAATGGACAGTTTAGAAAAACAGGATCAAAATCTATGCAGCAGAACCTCAGATATTGCCTTTTTTACTCAATGCATTCTTCTTTCTTCTGAAAACATGCCACCTACATTACCCACAAATCAACTCGACTACTAACAGATTCAGGTGTGTTATGCTAGTAGCAGCAAATGCAGCCTCGGCTGCTATTCTCAAGCAGAGATGAGGAGTGTGCTACAGACGTTTGGTAAAGCTCACTTCTTTCTAACTTCCCACCCCCAGATAATTTTATCATTTTCAAACTTGCAGATTTCAGCCCCAGCCAGCGCAGACTCAAGTGACATCACATCAAGTGAAATTTATTTTACACAGCTCCTTCTGGAGCCACAAAAGGCTTTATACAACCTTTTTCACATATGCTGTAGTACTCCCCAAGACCTATAGACAGACTTTAATGTGGAAAATTGTTGGAGTTCCCCTTTACAATAAATGGCACACTATACCCTGGGTATATTAGGTGAGCTGTATCGTACACCTAAAAAAATTCTGTAAGCGTACACTGTCTTCATGTTCGTTACAAAATGTATTGCAGTTTCTATTAAGGACAGAATTCACGCTGAAAAAATGAATTAACTGACTCCAGCCAGAGGGCGGACACTTAGCTCTCGATTAATGAATAGCTGTGAAATGGACAGTGATTAAAAGAGCTTGGCTGATTGTAAATGCGACGGCAGGAGAATATATGACGCAGCCGAAGTTTAAATCCATCTTAAGAGAATTCACATGATGTTAAATGGTTGGCGCTCAGCTGCAGGGAGGTTTTTACCACGTGAAGTTAACTGATACTCTTTGGGGCTGCACTGCAGACAATAAATAGTGAGTGGACAATGATCCATAGAAAGTGCCCAGGGTAATTTTCTCTGAACTTCAGCTGACATGATTAGTGTATCACAGAGTCCAAAAGTGTGTCAGTAATCATCCTCAAGGAAACAGAGACACAGCGACACACAATGTTCTTTATTATATCTTTAGATGAAGAGTGTTGATGTTGATACATAGATCAAAATCTAGGTAATATATGTGAATAACATTTCAAATAGTTTTGTAACTGAAGCAACTGCAACTGAAGCAGTGTACTGAGTTTTTAACATAGGACTGTAAGGAGCATTTTGTCTCTAAATAAACCATTGAGATAAAATTCTAATTTCTTTTATACTGATTTGATTGATTCACAGCCCCTTGTAGATGTGTAGACATCATGTGTAATTTTAAGGTACATAGTCTGGGTACAAATTATATTTCCTATACAAATTTGGGAATTATAACAAATTGAGTTTAAATTCAGTTAAATTCTGTTTAGGACCACAAAAGCTTTTGTGGAGGTAGTGGATCCCCAACTTGGATGGTGATCGTACACCCTTCACTTTTCACTGGCTTCTCTGTTTCTATTTTTGTCACGGACTGAGCAGTTCCTGCTTTTGCTTCACATTAAAGCTTTCCTCCATCAAACCAGTTGAACAGGAAGAAGGTTTAATCTTGCAATGCAATGATCTCTTCTAGGAATATGGCATTGACATTACAAAGTAATGAATGTGGCCTTATTGAGAAGCAAATACTGGAGGTGCTATCTTTGTGTCCAAAGTTAGCAACCATCTTCTAACTCCTTGTTGTTGTAATAATTAAGTACATCTACATGTTGGCCTTTTTTCTGTGTTTTTTCATTGGCAGATCAACTTTAAATATTGTCAGCAGGGACAGTGTGAGCGAACCACAAACCTCCAACACATAATCAAGGTAAGACTTCTTGTTGTGTCTCACTCTTATGGAAACCTCTGATTGTGGTTGCTCAAAGCACAGCACAGTGCAGATATCTCAACCATATGGAAATTTGGCAGTAGATGCCCATTCAGCCTGACATCTCATCAGGTCCTGGCTGAGCACTGAGCCCCAGGGGGCCGCTGGCAAAGCCTGGGACTTTCCTGATTAGCCATCCCAATGGCGAGCCTCTCTGAAAGAATGAGGGAAAACTGGGAGTGGGGAGGTAGAGGCCATGCTGTGGATAATTGAGGCTGTCAGTCATAAATCTCCTAAAGGATTGTGCTGACTGATCCTGCTAATTCTGTTTTTCTTCTCTCCATCCCCCCACTTCCCTCGGCCAAACTTAACTGTCCATCATTGTGTCTACTGATCTGCCTTTTATGACATTTAAATTATATGCCTCTGATAGTCCCCTATTTCCCCCACTGTTCTATTCTTTGCCTGTGTCTAAAGTGTCATTCTCCATGTCTCTAAATGACAAATTCTTTCACCTTTGCTCCTTATTTTCTCATTTTCGCCTTTTCCTCCTCAGTGCTCTTCACCAGCATGTGTGTGCGTGTGTGCGCGTGTGTGCGCATGTGTGCTCATGTGGCCCATACATACTTGAACAAACCGTTACTCATTTCCAGCTGATAACACCAACTGTTACACATCTCACCTGTGACAACGATTAATGAGTGTAATCTACCATAACTTGATAATGGGTTTGGGTGTGTGTGTGCACGTGTGTGCGTGTCCATATTTCAGGCTCTCTCTCCCTCCATGTCACCGTCCTTTCCCACCCCCCACATTCCTCCGTCTATCTCAATCCATCTCTTTCTGTCCCCCTCTTTCCCCCAATCTTCCCTCCCCATCCTTTCTATGCTCCGCTGTCTCTGTTCATGAGGATGTGGTTCTGATCCCCCTGGCTCTGTGTGTGTGTGTGTGTGTGGCTGAGAGTGGGAAGCAGACAAAGAATAAGAAACATCATCACATTTCTACCCGAGTATCACCCATATCAGTGTTCTCATCTGAGATATCTGCGGACTGTAACCACACAGCTGACAGACATGGATGTGTGTGTGTGTGTGTGTGTGTTTTTTTGTATCTCTAGTGTTGTGTAAATCAATAGCAGCTGAGGAAAAGGAAAATGCATGGAGGGATTATAGATAGAAAAATGAATAAATGGAGCAGCCCTTCAATGTAAATTCTTACAGGAATACATTGCAAACTAATTAAATGAAATTTAATTCAATTATTGTTTCTTAATGCCATTTTATGAGGTAGAAATGTAAACAGTCGAAAGCAAATATTTGACTACAGTGAATACACAGTGTGGTATGAAATTAGCTTCGAACTGTATGACTGTAGCTAATGAGATGTGCATGGGTTTGAGTTTCTGCCAGTTTTCTGCCACTCACGTGTGCAGGCCATGGCCCGTGGGTCGGTCTCAGCACGGTAGAAACCTTTCTCACAAACACACTCAAAGGCTTGTTCCTGCGGAGACGAGCTGTGGGGAGGACATTTGGTGCAGTAGGCATCTGTGGCTGAAGCTTTGTAGGTACCAGGTCTGCACGCTTGAGTGAGGAGACAGATAAACACTGTGTTAGAGGCTGTGCCAATACACCTTTTATACTGTATATTCCGCTCAACAATTATCAACCAACACACTAGTAATTAATATTAACCTACCGGCCGCAGTTGTGAGGACACACACTTTTCCTGTACAGTGAGGGATTTTTACAGACCTTGCATTCAATTTCAGTTGTACCTCCAAGTAAAGTGGTTTGAATAATCTAGCTAAATTTTTGGCTTGTGTACCACCTGTCTGATCGTCCGACTGCTGATGTTTCTTGCCCTGTCTAAATGTCTGAAGTTCCCAGATTTCAATTTGGTGAGTACGTTATCATAACTGAAAGAAATTATGGTCAAAACTACAAGAATAAAACCAAGGTTGTGCACGGTAATAACCTTTAAGACTGTGTGAAAATAAAGGAGAGTCAGAAGAGTATAAAGGGCAACAGTTACTCAAAAAGGTAGAAAATGTTCAAGAAAATGCAAACCGACATGAGGAATTATGCAACAAAAGAGGTACTACAACAGATACTGATAGGTCATAAGATGTGCCATGCAGCCCCCATGGCAAGAACAAGAAAACAAAGTTTGATTAATATATTGTGACATTGGGTCTATATGAGATACTTTTAGATCAGGCTGACGGCCCTATTGTACAATACAATAACATGGTGCAACAGCAGATCCACTGTCATTCCCGTTATATAAGCTGTAGATCTTCAGGCAACCGAGGGAACAAAAATACACAGCTGCAGTCGCAGCAATAATCACAATAACATAATATGACTATTGCTATGGCTGTTACGCTGGCTGCATATTAGTCATTATGTGGAGTCATAAAACTGGGGAGGGAAAACCACGCTACCGCTCAACAGGAGCAGCTTGCTGAAGTAGATTGGGGACTTGAATGATTTCCCCTTTGCATCCTAGGCAGTAAAATGGAATTTCCGACTTTCCCTCTGGTAATCTGAATAAAGATTACGCATGTATTTATTTATACATTCGTAGGCCTGGTATTCCCGTCCTTGCAAGCCTTTTCTGCTAAGGTGGTAAATAGTATTAAGGTGTACAAAACCCCATGTATGGAAAATGAGTGTCTCAAATGCAATTCGATATATGCCTTGTGTGTATGCATATGTGTATGTGCGAATATGTTTGATCAGTGATGCTATAGATTCCGCCAGGTGCTGATTGCATGTTCGTGCGCTGAGCGTTTTTCAGCGAGAAAGTGTTAAGTATGCGGCGCGTGTGTATGTGTGAGCGTGTGTGTTGGCTTGCTGATTGCTTGTGCTGGTGGTGAAGGTCACGGATTTAATCAAGCTACACGTCAAGCTACACGTCCCAGAAAGGCTGTAAATTATCACTGTAATACACATGTTCACAGGCACACGTGCATGTCCGACGCCATGGTTAACCTGCAGATAGAGGAATGGAAAAGTGGCCTAAAAGTGGTGTGATTTCTCACTGTGGAGGTAAGTTCCTCCACCTGGACGCTGTGCTTGCTCGCATACAGACAGTATTTTTAGGCAAATCATTCATCATAGGGGAGCAAAGTCCACTAGCACAATCCCCAAAAGACCCGAGAGAACACCAGAAAGGGGATGTGTGTGTGCGTAGGTGTGAAAGAGAGAACGAAGGAAAGAAAGAAAGAAAGAAAGGAAAGGGAGTGATAATTCTCAAAGGGTTTCTGCTCTCTTTCCTCCTTCCTGTCAGCTTCCAAGGTAATGGGTGCCTATGTGCTGTGCTAGTGACTCTGTGTGTGTGCGTGTGTGTGTTCTTGTTGGCTGGGCTGTAGGAGCAGGGTGGAAAAGCAGCTTTTCTCTGGGGATGTTTCATCCGGAGAGTCCTGGCTCCGGGCGCTGGCCAGGCACAAAGGACCCCTACGCTAGAGGACAGACAGGGCGCCCCGTGCCAGGCCTGGCGTCCGAACAACTGCCTGATCAAAAACTTTCTGCAAGAATGGCAGCTTGGCCACTTTGAGTGGCGCTTCCTTCTCCTGATCTGCTGTTTTCTACTTTGCTTTTCCACCTCGTTCTCACTCCAGCTTTTCTTTCTCTCTCCCGTCCCCCCTCTCCTCCATCCCCCTTCTTCTTGCCTCTTTTTGTTTTCTCAAGCTACTCCCTGTGTCTGCCCCATGGGAAATGTGTTACTTGACTTGGTTCCCTTATGATTAATGATTTACCATAGATATGAAAAAGGGACAAGAAGGCTGAGGCAGTAAGACAGAGCTCACATAAACATGCACTCACAGAAAGCAGACACACAGGAGCACAAAAGTTTAGTCACAAAAACTATGTTGTAGAACTAGGAGCTAACTCCAAAGTAACTGTACAGTACGTAGGGTGCTTGTATGTGTGTGTATGTGTTTCTTCTAAAGACAAAGAGTGGCCTCAGATCCAGTATCTTATTAAATATTCATCCGGTCACCAGAGAGACTTAGTATATTTATGCCAATCGATAGCTCTTAGATATGATATAGTCCTGCTACTCAAGACACACCCTCAGTCACAACGCACTGATTGAAAAGGGAACAGCCCAACTGTTTCCTTTGGGAAAACACTGCACAGTGATTGAATTCTTTTGTATTCTATTTCTTGTATATTCAATTCTACTCTTTCTCTACTCTACTCAAATTCTTTAATCAATTATAAAAAATCTGACAAGTTATAGATAAATAAGTGTATTACACCAAACAACCAGGACATGTCTTTAAAAAGTTGCACTAATCAGTGTATTTATATTAACAATGGATCAAATGATGATGTGTAATGTAGTGATGAATTCTTAACTGCAGATCCCCTCAACTCTACAGAGCATTTTAGCATCTCTTAACACATTGTTGTGGTTTATGGCTCACACCTTTACAGGTTTAGTTCACTGTCACCACATATCAACTGTGTTTCCAGGAGCAGGCAGCTGTTTTCAGCTAAAAAGTTCTTATAAAAGTGACGGTACGTGACCTGCCCAGCACCAAACAGCAGACAGACAAAGCGGCTAGCTGTTGAACATAGTGGAGCATTTAGCACCTAAATAGCCAGGTATTTACCTCAGGAGAGCAAGCCGAAGGTAAAAGGAAAGTAAATATTCATTCATCAGATTGACCAGAATCGCGAATCCGTTACCCCCAAGTATCTGTTGATACTGCTTCTGCTTGTTTTATTTGACTGCAAAACCCAAATATAGTGTTCTTATTCAGAATCACATAAAACGAGAAAAAGAAAAAAGGAAAAGGAAATGGAGCTGAGTGACTGTTTAAGATACAAGCGTACTGAACTTGTGTGAATGACAGAAACTGCTGACTATACCGGAAGAGTTCAGGAAGTGGGTTCGGTTAATGGTTGAAAAGGGCCTGTGCATATTCACACACAAGTGTGCACACTGAAACACAAACCCGATATCACATAGTCAAAGTCATTACATCCTAATTACATTCAGCCAGGCAGCTCTGTACGTATACAAAATCACATCAGCTGCACTTTTCTGAAACAAACACTTCCTCTGCCTGGCTGGGAGCCGTCTCCTCTCCTCCACTTCCCTTTCAAATGTTCTTGCTAGTTTAACTGTTATTTGCTCTGTTCTCTTGCTTTCTGTCGCACTTGCTTCAAGTCAAACATTGGCTCCCCGCCGGCTTTACCATAAAGGCCAGAAAGAGGAGAAAACTCTGTGTGTGTGTGTGTGTGTTTGTGTGGGTGGGTGGGTGGTTGGGGGGTATAGTGAGTGTGTGCATGTGCCTGTGTGTGTTCTTTTGAGAGGGAAGTTGTGTAAAGCTCGCTGGCCCACGGGAGATGAGCTCCATAATGGTCACCATGGCAACAGGCTTTCAAGCTGGAACCCTTCTAGTACCCCTCGAGTGCCACAGCTCCTGGAGCACAGAGCGGCCTGTGTGTGTGTGTGTTTGTTGGCTACCCAGGCGTTAGTTGAGGCCAGCTATTTAAAAATTGATACATCAAGCGTCAGTGGAGAAATCTGACGAGATTGAATGTGACGTCCTTTACGGCCACTGGGGTCGCATCTGTATGTGTGTGTTTGTGCTCATGTGTACATAACCGTGAAACATGCTTTCGGCCGAATTGAATAACGTTGTGCCTTATATGTGAAAAAAACATACACAACAAGGGGCATAAAACCCTTTATATGATTACTGGCACTTCACAACATTACAAATGTTAATGTAAACATGTCATTTTAATTCAATAGATTCACTATACATTGGTGTGCATTATCAAAGCAAAATGCATCTTTTAAAAGCTGCCGATGAACATGACCAACTGACAGTGTGTTTGTGTAGTCAACAACTTTCCTTGTTGATAAGTGGAAGTAATATGTCTGGTGTGTGTGCGTGTGTGTGTGTGTGGGTTTGTGTGTGTGTGTGTGTGTGTGTGTGTGTGTGTGTCGGTTTGTGTGTGGTAATGAGGAAGTTTGTGTAGGATAGAGATGTCAGCATCATAGTCCAGCCCCCTGTTGAGAACCTCTAATCCCTAACTGGAGTTCATAACAACCTTTAACACCATAATATTCAGCATTACTACTAATCCTGCAAAACATACGCACACACTCAAGACACACATACAATTCCTGAGCAAACATGCTTGTCTGTTTTTGCATTAAATTTGCTCTTTCTTTCTTTCTTGATCTAAGGATTATTCAACTATGGACACCTCATGTTTTTGCTTTGTATGAACAACAACTTTGCAACTTTGCAATTACAAAATTACATTGCCTTTATGTTTTGTTTTTGTGTTGTGGGGCAGTTTTCTATAAGTGGCATCATCACCACAACAGAAATGTTGTAATAACAATGAGCTCACTACAGATATATATACAGTAGCTCACAGGTTCCCAATGCTAAAACCATCTGTCCTCTCACTGCAAAATCTGATCAATAGTTTGATTAACACTAAAAACTTTGATATATGTGTGTTCCAAAAACAATCTTCTTGAAAAACATAGCTACTCAAGAAACAGTAATTGTTGGTCCAGTTTAACCCAGTTAACATCAAGA